TCTGAGCGATTTCTCTCCTCGTGGGAGTTATCTCGCTGAGGGTTCGTAGTACCGAGCGAGTTGGCTCCTCGTGGGAGTTGTCTCGCTGCGGGTTCGTAGTACCGAGCGAGTGGTCTCCTCGTGGGATTTTCCTCGCAAGGGGTTGTAGGTCCGAGCGAGTTGTCTCCTCGTGGGAGTTGTCTCACTGCGGGATGTAGGACAGAGCGAGTTTGTTTCTCGTGGGAGTTATCTCGCTGTGGTTTTGTAGATCCGAGGGAGTTGGCTCCTCGTGGGAGTTATCTCGCAACGGGTTACAGGACGGAGCGAGTGGTCTCCTCGTGGGAGTTATCTCGCTATGGTTTCGTAGACCCGAGGGAGTTGGCTCCTCGTGGGAGTTATCTCGCAACGGGTTATAGAACGGAGCGAGTGGTCTCCTCGTGGGAGTTATCTCGCTATGGTTTCGTAGACCCGAGGGAGTTGGCTCCTCGTGGGAGTTGTCTCGCTGCGGGTTGTAGGATGGAGCGAGTTGGCTCCTCGTGGGAGTTGTCTCGCAAGCCCCCCACTCTCGAGGCGATGTGGGAGCCAAGTAGAAAGGGGTACCGGATCGTATTGAGAGTAGATCTGTGCTGTAGTCTTGCGTTAATCGTTGGCATGGCGTGGAGAAATATTTTTTTTTATTTATCCGTTTGATAGCGAGCGCGATTTGGTAGGCGCGTTGAAGAGTTCGCGCGATTTGGTGGAGCGCGTTGAAATTATCGCGCGATTTGGTGAAGCGAGGTGAAATCTACGCGCAATTTGGTGGAGAGTAGCAAAAGTTGTGCCCAATTAGGTGGGAGCGCGCGCTCCAAGGTGGCCTTGGGAGGCGCGCGCGCGTGCATGGGAAGGCGCGCGCGCGTGTGAGAAATTTTTTTTTTTTTTTTTACTGCTGGCGCGCGTGCAGTGCACGCGCGCGCGTCTGGCGCGTGTACGCCACGCGCGCGTGGTATGCACGCGCGCCACCATGTCTTTTTTTTTTTTTTTTTTTTTTGTTGCTGGCGCGCGTGCAGTGCACGTGCGCGCGTCTGGCGCGTGTATGCCACGCGCGCGTGCTGTGCACGCGCGCCTCGTGTCCCCTTATTTTTTTTAATTTTTTTTTTTAATTGAGCCGCGCGCGCGCGGCTTGGCTTGGCTTGGCTCGCGCGCGCGGCTCGGCTGCATGTCCTTTCTTTTTATTTTTTATTCTCTTTTTTCTTCTTCTTCTTTCTTCTTTCTTTCTTCTTCTTTTACTCTCTTTTTTCTTCTTCTTGTTCTTGTATTTTTTCATCTTCTTCTTTTTTCTTCTTCTTTCTTCTTCTGTTTTTTCATCTTCTTGTTTTTTCTTTTTCTTTCTTCTTCTTGTTCTTGTATTTTTTCATCTTCTTCTTTTTTCTTTTTCTTTCTTCTTCTCTTCTTCTTTTTTTTTTTTTTTTTTTTTTCTTCATCTTCTTCTGGGGTCTCGCGTGCGCGATTTTACCCCCCCCCCCCCCCCCACTTTTTTTTATTTGGTTGATATTCACCCCCTTAGGGATGTTCTATTTTTTGAGTTGGGAGATTATCCTCGTTCCTTGAGATGGGATGTGCACCCCCTTGGGGATGTTCTATTTTTTGAGTAGGGAGATTATCCTTGTTCCTTGAGATGGGTTGTGCACCCCCTTGGGGATGTTCTATTTTTTGAGTAGGGAGATTATACTCGTCTCTTGAGATGTGATGTGAACCCACTTGGGGTTGAAAGGTAAGGGTGATGCCCAACCTTAGGATGGGGATAACTGCCCACTGTAGGATGAGGCGCTCGAGACCTATGGTCTGAGGTAGATGCGCACGGTTGTGCCATAGGTTCGCGCGTGCGCGTCAGACCCTTTTTTTCTGTTTTTGAAGTAGGGACGTGAAACACTTGATGGGATGTGAAACCCCTTGGGGTTGAAAGGTAAGTGGATGTACCACCCTTGAGATGAGATGCCCAACTTTAGGGTGGGATAGCCCCCCATTTAGGATGAGGCGATCACGAACCACTGGGGTGAGATGCCCAAACTTGGCGATATATGGTGCCACTAATTCAGTGGCAGCACGAGTTGAATCTTCCGTGATCATACGCTGAAGGTCTTCTTCGGTTATCTGAACCGTTCGAGAAGTAAATAGAAATTGATCATGTTGAGGACCCAGTGGGGCCTCACGAGGAGGAGCGTTGGCTCCTGTTATGACGATGTATGGTGCCACTGCTTCAGTGGTAGCACAAGTTGAAGCTTCCGCGATTATACGCTGAAGGTCTTTATCGGTTATCTGAACCGTTAAATGAGCTAGTAGAAGTTGATCTTGTTGAAGGTTCGGCGATCATATGCTGAATGTCCTCTTCGGTTATCTGAATCGTTCGAGGGGGCGGAAGTAGACCCCCAGAGAGTCGATGACCCATGGCGAATGAAATGTTTTGGGGGCACTGTGAACCCCCAGGGAGTCGATAACCCTTGGCGAACGAAATATTTTGGGGGCGATGTAAACCCCCATGGAGTCGATAACCCTTGGCGAGCGAGATATTTTAGGGGTAGAGGTAAGCCCCTAGGGAGTCAATAACCCTTGGCGAACGAAATATTTTGGGGGCGATGTAAACCCCCAGGGAGTCGATGGCGGTGGTGCCATAGGTGGCTCCACATGTGGAGCAGGTGCTGGTATCGCGTTGGGAGCATTTGCTCCCATCGTGGCGATATATTGGATCACGGCCTCTGTGGCAGCGCGAGTTGAAGCTTCTGCTCTCATGCGTTGAAGCGCATCCTCGGTTATTTGAACCATTCGAGGAGCAGAGAGTGATGGATCGGCGAGTGGTGGGTCCCAAGGGGGGATCACCTGAACCTCGCGAGGCGGATCCATGGGATGGGGAGGAGGTGGCAAGCCAGAGCCTCCACGAGGTGGGAGGTCGTTAACTGTGTCATTTTCTCTCCGAGCAGACGCCTCAGGAGGATCTTGTTGGCTACGTGATCTGGTTTGCATCGTTCCCACAGACGGCGCCAAAATGATGATGCTAAAATATAGCTCACCTAGGGTGGTGTAGAAAATGAACTGGGAGAGCAAAGCGGATCAGTAGCTTGACAACTTGATGATCCTGAGGTACCTGCGATCATAGAACACATGAACTAAGACCGGGGGTTGATCCGGGCTGGAAACCGACTTTGCTCCACCAGAGTT